TTATTACAATTTCGACCTTTCAGTTTCTGCCTTATTTCTGAGATGGTTGGAATGTCGAACATTAATCTATTGTCCTCATCTTTTCGCTATTTATTACAACTTTCGGTATCTGTCTATATTTCTGAGATTCCAATTGCCATGTTTAATGGATGTCAATATTTTCCCTCTCCAAGTTCTCCACGTTTCGGTGCTTTAACACTTTGGGTCCTGTCACTGGATCTAACCAACGCCTTTACCCACTGTGCCATGTGTCCTTGAGGACATCAGGGTAAGAATTTCTGGGCATTATAAACCTAATGTCTCGAGTAACCATTAAAATAAAGGGTTCAGGAGAACTTGGAGAGGGGAATTAACAGGAGATAACTGATAAGTGACATCCATCAAACATGGCACGTAGAATTAGAACAGTCTACCCCAGTCAGCAAAATAAAGGGTTCAGTTCGACATTCCAACCATCTGAAGAAGGCCGAGGCGTTACAACGGCCGAAAGGTTGTAATAAATATGGCGACAAAGATGAGGACAATAGTCCGAATAAATAAAATAATGTCAGGAATATAGACAGATATCGTCATCTCATGGCACAGAATATTCATAGACAGATATCGTCAAGGACACATGGCACAGAAAATTCATACACAGATATCGTCAAGGACACATGGCACAGTGGATAAAGGCGTTGGTTAGATCCACTGACAGAACCCAAAGACTGTGAGTTCAATACCCGGTTAAGGCAGTGGAGAACTTTCAGAGAAATTAACGGGAAATAACTGATAACTGACATCCATTAAACATGGCACGTGAGCGAAATAAATATGTCGACAAAGATGAGGACAATAGTCCAAATAATGTACATAATACCTCATCTCAGAAATATAGACAGATACTGAAAGGCCGAAACGTTGTAATAAATATGACGACAAAAATGAGGACAATAGTCCGAATGATGTAAATAGTGTACATAATACCTTATCTCAGAAATATAGACAGGTTATAATAAGCTGTTTGATTAATTCTTCTTATTAACTAACGGAAAGTTCCAAGAGGAGCAAGATCACCATTATATTACAGACGTTTCAGTTGCATGCCTAGGGTAGTTTCAATCGTTTTGACGCGTTGATTATTGGCTGGCCACTGGCATCCGAGGATGTCCGCCTACTAGGGCGGTTAGCCAATCGCTATAGCAGACGCCCCCATCAGGCACATTGTTTGTTCATCACTCACAGAGCCAACCTGTGGTTTATTCTGCAACTATGCTGAGCAGATCTTAGTTACAGTTTCTGAGAGCGAGAGCTTTATCTAGCGTTATCAACAGTCTGAATAAGGACGGCACGCTTAAAGCCTCGGTCACGATGACTTGTGACTTCGTGCTTGCACAACCATCGATGGCTTCCCAAAGAGTTCCGTCTACACAATTTCGCTTCGGTCAAGCCGTGGTATGTTTTTCAGGTACTTTTCAAAGGTTCCACACGCTGGGGTCACCTTCTCCAGAGGAATAACATAAACTTCCTGACAAATGGACTATGGTAAGATGCGAACCAGGGTCATATGGTCAGAAAGCGTATGTTCTAACCACTCGGGCGCGTATCACTAATCAACTCGTTTCATTTCAAGCCAAGTGATATTTGTACGAAGACTTAAATTTTTTTTTCTTGTATACAATTTTTAACATTAACCTGAATAAGACATATATACTGTCGAAATATTGTCAAAGTTAGTCTTTTCTTTTTTTCTTAACAGTACACCTTTATAATACACAATTCATGCAGCTTTGTAATATATGCATTTTTATAATATATAATGCATACATCTATATAATACATAAATTTTATAATATATAATAACATCTTTATAATACATTATTCATACATCTTTATAATACATAACTCATACGTCTTCATAATACATACATCTTTATAATATATAATTCATACATCGTTATAATACATAATTCATATATCTTTATAATATATAATACGTGCATCTTCATAATACATATATCTTTATAATATATAATATATAAATCTTTATAATGCATAATACACATCTTTATAATATATAATTTATATACCGTTATAATACATAATGCATATATCTCTATAATATATAATACATAAATCTTCATAATACATAGTGCATGCATCTTTATGATATATAATCCATACATTTTTATAATATATAAATACATACATCTGTACAATATATAATGCATACATCTTTATAATATATGACACGTACATCTTTATAATACATGTTTATAATAAATAATACATACATCTTCATAATATATAATTCATACATCTTTATAATATATAATACATACATTTTATAATACATAATTCATGCATTTTATAATATATAATACATACATCATCATACTACATAATTCATACACCTTTATAATACATAATTCATATATCTTTATAATATATAATACATACATCTTCATAATACATAATACATGCATCTTTATGATATATAATCCATACATTTTTATAATATATAATACATACATCTGTACAATATATAATGCATACATCTTTATAATATATGACACATACATCTTTATAATACATGTTTATAATAAATAATACATACATCTTCATAATATATAATTCATACATCTTTATAATATATAATACATACATTTTATAATACATAATTCATGCATTTTATAATATATAATACATACATCATCATACTACATAATTCATACACCTTTATAATACATAATTCATATATCTTTATAATATATAATACATGCATCTTTATAATACATAATTCATACATGTTTATAATACATAATGCCTACAACTTTATAATATGTAATAATACATTTTATAATACATAATTTATACATTTTATAATGTATAATACATCTTTATAATACATAAAAAATACAATTTTATAATGTATAATACATCTTTATAATACATAATTCATACATCTTTATAATACATACATCTTTATAATATATAATTTATATGGCTTTAAAATACATAATTCATACATCTTTATTATGCATAATTCATACATGTTTATAATATATAATTCTTTTCTTAACAGTACATCTTTATTATATAATTACCAATAATGCATTATGTTCGTAAAATGATCGACAATACATTGTTATAGCAATCAATACGACACTAAAAATGTTTAAAAATACATTTTTATAGTAAAATTACCAGGAATATGTTTTTATGAAAAAAAATACCAACAGTACATTTTTTCTAATGGATTTATCAATAACACATTTAAATTACCAACAATACATTTTATGATCTACAAACTACATATCTAAAAAAATCAACTTTTCCCCGAAAGAATAAAATTATGTACAAAATATCTGTAGTAGAAATTATAAACTTGCATTCAAAATATATGTAGCTGGAGCCATAAAATTGCGTATAATATATTTAGATTTCGACTTTAAATAAACCATATGCCACTAAAATCAGCCAACCAACACATTAAAGATCTTTGCCAAAATCTAAAAGAGAAACTGTAACTTTCTCGGTCCTGACCTGGCATCTTGGCATTAGTTACTTTTATATTTTTACAGTAACTTTTCAGATGAGCTTTCCTCGTTAGTATTTCGGCTTCGCGAATTTAAGCGCATTGTTAGATTGACAGCTACGCTGATTCTCTAAACGTAGCTTAGACGTGTCACAAGGGCGGAAAGTATGGGGTGCCCAGTGAGGATCGAAACCACTAATCAGTGATAATTGATCTTGCTAACCATTGGACCAAGTTGAAGTTTCCAAAGATTGGCAGCTAAGGTTGGTAATTTCACTGTTGAAATTGTTAGATGTAGCCGCAAGTTCTATGTTAACTGTTTCTTTAACCGTAATTTTTCGCTTGTTATACTCTTTTCTGGTTTCTGGCTTTCGCATTAAACTTTAGAATTTGAAATAGGATGTCAATCGACATCTTTTGTCTTCTTGTTCTTTTATTGTACTCACTGGCATTTACCTTTCTGTTTTAGTGTTTCTTTTTATTGTATTGCTCTGTTTAGGGTGAAATGTTAAGTAAAATCAAAGGAACGTGGCATTAAAAAAAATATACGTATTTGCGAATATAAACTGGAATTTTTCCTTCTCAGGCTAAAATATTTTCTCATTTGAAACTGCTACTTATTTGTTTCAATTTTTTTTTTTCACAAATTCCTCTATTAACAATTTCTCGATTTAAACAGCAGGTTTAATTCCTGTGGTAGGCGCGCGACCAAAAGAAAAAAGGAAAAAAAAACTATCAACATAATATTAAACTCAAGTGCCACTTGAAAAAAATAACCTTTTCATTACATATTTCTCAGATTTAGCCCAACCAGAAGACATTTTAGTCGGACCTGCGTGGTTTCATTTCTTAAGCTCTAAGTGGCTTCTACTTGGTGCAATTTGGTTGGCTATTTAAACTCTTCAAACCACCCAAGTCTGACTTCGAGGTGATATCGACTGAGCAATTAACATTTTTTGGGATGTCGCCATCAGTTAAAGCGATACCTCGAAAGTAGCTGGCTTGGTAAGACACCAACTTACCGACCCTAAGGACCGCTATTCATTTCGCAATGAGTCTTAAAAAGCAATTATCAGAATCCCCAGAGGTGATCGCTTGGCCAGGATTTGTAATTCTAAGTTAGGGTGCGCCATTTTTTTTTTTGGTAAACTTTAGAAATAATGTTCTTTTTCTTGTCCCTTCAGAACGTGAGGGGTCATGGCTCTCCACATGATCTGGTGTTGGTCTGTGAAATAGAACTGGACTTCTATTTAAGGTCCAACGACCAAATGTTAATGTCCAATCGTTAATAAAATGATGATGATGTCCAAACGGAGTTGTCACATTAATGTACGAGTCTCTGGCAGGGAATTATAAATGATAGAAAGGGGAGGGCGGTGAATTGGAGAAAAAAAAACTCTCTTATGAGCACTGTAACACGAAAGCAGTAGTAACATTAAAAAGTTGTAACAATCTGTCGATCGATCAGTCGCAATATGTTCAGATCTATCTATCTATCTATCTATCTATCTATCTATCTATCTATCTGAAGCTGTTCATATCTATCTATCTATCTATCTATCTATCTATCTCATTCTGTTCACTACATATCTATCTATCTATCTATCTATCTGAAGCTGTTCATATCTATCTATCTATCTATGGCATTCTGTTCACTACATATCTATCTATCTATCTATCTATCTGAAGCTGTTCATATCTATCTATCTATCTATCTATCTATCTATCTATGGCATTCTGTTCACTACATATCTATCTATCTATCTATCTGAAGCTGTTCATATCTATCTATCTATCTATCTATCTATGGCATTCTGTTCACTACATATCTATCTATCTATCTATCTATCTATCTATCTCATTCTGACCATATCTATCTATCTATCTATCTATCTATCTATCTATCTATCTATCTCATTCTCCATATCTATCTATCTATCTATTCATCTATCTATCTATCTATCTATTCTATTCACTACACATATCTATCTATCTATCTATCTGAAGCTGTTCATATCTATCTATCTATCTATCTATGGCATTCTGTTCACTACATATCTATCTATCTATCTATCTATCTATCTATCTATCTATCTATCTATCTATCTATGGCATTCTGTTCACTACATATCTATCTATCTATCTATCTATCTATCTATCTATCTATCTATCTATCTGAAGCTGTTCATATCTATCTATCTATATATCTATCTATCTATGGCATTCTGTTCACTACATATCTATCTATCTATCTATCTATCTATCTATCTATCTATCTATCTATGGCATATCTATTCATCTACATATCTATCTATCTATCTATCTATCTATCTATCTATCTATCTATCTATCTATCTATCTATCTATCTATTTGAGTCTGTCCAAAAGAATACAAGGATCGAGACGAAGGTCATTTCTTTTTCTTTGTTAACATTTATTTGTATAAATGTTTTCTCCCTCTTATTCGTTCTTACATTTTCTTTCTTTCTTTCCTTCTTTCTTTCTTTCTTTCTTAATTCATTCATATCTCTCTTTGTATTTCATTGTTTATATCTATTTTACTGTACACATCTATCTATCTGGCTTTTCATTCTGATCTATCTATCTATCTATCTATCTATCTATCTATCTATCTATCTATCTATCTATCTATCTATCTCAGTTTCCTCATATCTATCTATCTATCTATCTATCTATCTATCTATCTATCTATCTATCTATCCCAGTTTCTTCATATCTATCTATCTATCTATCTATCTATCTATCTATCTATCTATCTATCTATCTCACTGTTCACATCTATCAAATCTCTCTATCTTCCTCTCTCTTGCTATACATGCATACACACACATGTATATATATGTTCATTCTGTTCATATTTAGCTAGATAACTAGCTATTACAATCTATTTCACTGTTCACATCTATCTATCTATCTATCTATCTCTATCTATCTATCTATCTATCTATCTCAGTCTGTTCATATCTATCTATCTATCTATCTCAGTTTCTTCATATCTATCTATCTATCTATCTATCTATCTATCTCACTGCTCACATCTATCAAATCTCTCTCTCTCTCTTGCTATACATGCATACACACACACACACACACACACACACATATATATATATATATATATATATATATATATGTTCGTTCTGTTCATAATTAGCTAGGTAACTAGCTATTACAATCTATTTCACTGTTCACATCTATCTATCTATCTATCTATCTCACGGTTTTCATCTATCAACTTACCTGTTATTTTTTACCGCATGACCCTATCTCGTTGCAGACGCAAAGTGCGGAGCATTAGCAAAAGAATATAGTCACGTCGTGCAAAGATTGGGGCATGGAAAATCTGATTTATTAAATGTCGTTAAGAAATGGAGATCCGTCGTCGTCGTCGTCGCTCATGTATTGATCCGTCCGTCTATGTGAAGAGAGGAGGTCGGCGCGGGAGGAATTGGATAAGAAATTGTTGCATTCTGGGAAAGATCGGAAGAGAGAGGCAGAAGAATCATTGGGAAAATGAAAACTCTGCACAGGTGTACTTCTGGGTCGCTGGTGATTCTTTTTTTTTTTAGAGTGAAATCAATCAAAGGAAAAGGGAAAAGAAATGTCTAGACTTAAAAGAAAAAGAAGATCGGCATGAAAATTTCCAATTTTCTTATCGATCATTACACATTTACTATTGCTTTCAAACTGATCAGTTCTCAATCATATTTTATATTGTTAATAATCTGAAGAGTTTATATCTATCTATCTATCTATCTATCTGAAGAGTTCATATCTATCTATCTATCTATCTATCTATCTATCTATCTGGATAGTTCATATCTATCTATCTGAAGAGTTCATATCTATCTATCTATCTATCTATCTATCTATCTATCTATCTATCTAAGTATCTCATAAGTCTATCATCTCATCTATCTATCTATCTATCTATCTATCTATCTATCTATCTATCTATGTATCTGAAGAGTTCATATCTATCTATCTGAAGAGTTCATATCTATCTATCTATCTATATATCTATCTATCTATCTATCTATCTGAATAGTTCATATCTATCTATCTGAAGAGTTCATATCTATCTATCTATCTATCTATCTATCTATCTATCTATCTATCACAATCTCTCCATTGTCTGTCTGTCTGTCTTTATCTATCTATCTGGTTCGATGAGTAAATTGTCATCATTTTATATTTTTAATTTCACGCATGCGCATTGTTTGCTTTAGATTTTTTTTGACTGCACTGTATATTAGGGCCAGTTGACCACCGTCTGTGAGAAAAGGAACACCATGAGACAATTCACCTCGCTAGAAATTTTGTAAAGTCCTGCTGTACTGCTCCAGTAGTGCTGCCCTGGTTCAAGAGTTTGGCTGCTGAAAGACCCTTTGTCTGTCAACAGGACTCTGCACCATGTTGCACAAGCAGGACAACCCAGTCATGGCTGTCAGACAGTTCCTGCGACCATATTGCCCCTTACAACTAGTAACCCCATTGTTTATGTGTGGGGCGAAGTTGAGCGAGAGATCAACAAAACTCCTTGTCACACCAAAGATGAACCGAAGGCAAGTATTATAGCAGCATACACCAACTTCAACAAGGAAATCACCCAGAAGAGTTGCAGCAGATTCCGAAGTGGTCTGGAGGTCGTTGTTGAAAGCTAATGGCGATTTTATTGAATAAATTTACACTTCAGTATTTCAAGATATTTTTGTGTCATTTTGGTAAACATAACTGTTAAAATGAGATGTCTGTGTTATTTAAATTTTTGCGTAATTTACATACACACGCATATATATATATATATATATATATATATATATATATATATATATATATATATAATAAAGAAAAAGCCAACTCTTAACAATATTAACTACGAACAAAGCCACAATGTGCTAACCGTATTCGGAAATTAAAAACATCCCTACCACACACTAAGACATACACATAATGCACACACTCAATTAAGCTGAAAAATCGAATCATCCTTGATAATGGCTAAAGGTATAGCCGAAAGCGCTCGGAAATATAAAACATTTGGACAGTTTTTACACACTCTTTGTCCAGAAAAGAAAGCTCTTGTTCGAACACAAAACAAAAATTAAATAAAAAGATTAACCGTAGTACCTTGTCTGTCGTTTTTAATGAAATATGCATATATATATATATATATATATATATATATATATATATATATATATATATGTGTGTGTGTGTGTGTGTGTGTGTGTGTGTGTGTGTGTGCTGTTCGGTTGTTTAATGTAATTTTCCTTTGTTTCGAATCATATTGTGATTTCCGTGAAGAATTTTCTAATATTTTCTAAGAATTTTACTTTGAAGCGCCTATCGAACTTACTATTATACGTAGTCGAGAACTGATGACATCGGGAAGATTGTTGATTAAACTAAGAAACAACGTGGGTCCAAGGATAGAAACCTGATGCTGGGCCTCAGCTTTAATGTGAAATAAAAGCTTTAGAGTTATGAAATGGCTGAAGTAAAGAACCCTTCTTATCTAAACACTAGCAGCATGGCCCGGCGTTGCCCGTGCTTGATTCAAAAATCGTACGACTCATACAGCAATCGTTATCACTTGACTTAAAATATTTTGCCCTTCCTTGCCTTTAAAGGAGTGCCCTTTGCTGTGCTGATGTTGCTACATGCCTTACTTCTTGCCTGCAAATTTTTTCTAAGCTCTAATCTAAACATTAAATCTGTTACGAAAAAAGAACTAAACAAAATGAACACAAAACGATCAGCTTTAAAAAGGACTCGTAACTGGAAAAACCGAATGAAAAAAGAATGTTAACAACAAATATTTTTTACACCCAACCCAGTTCTGCGGAATCAGAATCAACGTTTAGTTTAAGCAAGCGAATGAGCCAATTGGAGTAAAGTGCCATGCAGATTTAAATTTTTCCCACTTGTGACGAATGTAGCTATCGATTTTTTTGCATGCTAATTAACATTCGTGTCAGTCAGCTGTTGGCTCTCACGCTGGTCAATAGAATCTTGCTGACTATTCGTGGCAGCCAGCTATAAGCTGTCACTCTGGACAGTAGAAAATGGCCGTAAACTACATGAAAACTGCCGTAGAAGCATGAAAAAAATCAATTATTTCTACTATCGATGGGAGTTGGGAAATGCAAAGTCGGTATTGGCCTTGCCGCTAACTTGGAGAATGTGCGTGTAAATTTTGGTGCAAATCCGTCGAAAATTGCGGCCGTGCATTCGTTACACACACACACACACACACACACACACACACACACACACACACACACACATCCCGCCTTTTATAGATAGAGTTTTAGAGAGAAAAGCCACACCATAGTTTTTCCTTTGGAATATAAATTTTTGCCTTGCATCGTAAAAGCAGAAGAGGTTTCGTCCTAAATCTGAAATTCACAGTGTTGAGTCATTCTATTTGTTTATATTGTGATCATTAATACTTTAGAGGAAATGCTCATATCAGGTAACGTTGAACAGGAGTATCAAGTTGAAACTGACTTGCAAGATTTCAGTTGTTCTGATCACCTGATATCCACTATACATATCGGTAAGCGATCAATTTGAGACGAGCTCGTGCACTCAGCCGATAGTCAAAGGTATCTATGAGCAACAGACAGATACAACTGATACGTATATGCTGATGTCGGTACAGGCTTTGAGCCTCATGACCTCGCCTCAGAGCCTGTTGCATACGTCGGCAGGAATTGATACCAGGATCAATTTGGGGGACTGTCTCATACTTGCCACAAGAAAGGAAATTTGCCCTCAAAAACAGGACCAGCGACAAGAAACTCGCTGTTCTGCCGGAGATAATTTGATCCGAACTTTGACCCATTTTCGTTACTTACAAAGTGAACAGTTTACCGGCAGCACGCTTAGTCCAGTTGACATTTTGTCGCCCTCATTTGTCGCGTTTTTTTAAAATTTTTTTTTATTCTTCTGATGGTATGATGACAGCGTGTGGTGACCTCCCACCCCGTGCAGTGCTCGATCCTTATGAACTCTGTCCCGCAGACAACATTACCGACAAACATATTTGGTGGCGATTGTTTGGATTGGCCTCTGTTCACCTTTGATATTTGAGTGCATATACATTTAACTGAAGGACACGGTGGCGTTATTTATTTACTTATTCATTTAGTTTTCAATCTTTCGGGCTCTAGTTTATCACCCGCGAGCACGTGACCAATGACTGAAGAATTCAAGTGAAATATGCCAGGAATGTTGGCCGATTTTGCACCCTCGGCTTCCATGAGACGCTGAATATTCTTCTATGAACCATATCCCTCCAAGACGAGGGCGATCACAACTTCCTATGCTTTGTAACTATTAGTACATTTTTTTACCATCTCTCGCATCCCTGTTTCTCCATCCACTAACAAAACCTTGTCAGGCAGAATCTTTTTGCTTTCGATATGTCCTGTGAGTGTTAAATTCTCCAAGCCTCTTTCCTTATTATGTAGGGACCTTCACAAATAAACACGGTACCTAAGTTTTAAGATGTATTTTTAAAAATGAAAAAAAAAAAATCTTGAAGGTTTCATTTTAGTTTTAATTTCAGCTAATAGATTGAAAATCTAGTGTCGCTGACAAAACTAACCTGGCTGTTCGGCTCGAAAAGGACCTCCAATTGGTTGTGAACTGGGACAGGAATTGGCTGGTTAACTTTTGCGCCTCCAAAACAAAACTGCTCTCTATTAATCACTACAGAGATCCTTCCCTGCCTCCACCCCATTAGAATGTCTGACGTTCAACTTCCCGAGAGCACCTCTCTGCGGCTGCTCGGTCTCACGTTGACTGCTGACCTGAGATGGAACAAATACATTGAGTCAATAGCTTCATCCACCGCAAGGAAAGTTGGCTCCTTGTGCCCCGCCAGGAAATTTTTCTCCCCGGAGTCGATCCTTAAAATCTACAAATCAACCATTCGCCCTTGCATGGAGTATTGCTGCCATATATGGTCTGGTACCCCTTCTGTTTGCCTCGGGGTTCTTGATAAGTTCCAGAGATGGATATGCAATGCAATTAGCCTTGATCTGGCATCTTATCTGCAGTCGGTCTCTCATAGACATGTTGTCACCTCTCTCTGTCTTTTTTACAAATACTTTCATGGTAATTGCTCTGATGAGCTGCTTTCACTGGTTCCCAGACTCCATGAATTCAAGCCCCCTACGAGGCTGGCATTCCGCTCTCACCTTTTCACTGTTGAAACTGTTAAATTTAGACGCCTCTTCTATTCCAATAACTTTATATCTCGCACCTCTCGCCTGTGGAACTAGCTTCCCTATTCCTGTTTCCCTGATAGCTATAATCCCTAACTATTCAAATGTAATGTCAATCGACATCTTCAGTTGCCTTGATCTATTCTTCTTCTCATCCTTTCCTCTATCATTGCTACTTGCTCTCGCTTCAAATCCTCTATAACCCCTTGCGTGCTAGTGGCTTCCCGCCTTGCTAGGGGTGTGTTGTGGTAGGATCCACCTAATTTGCATAGTGGAGTACCGACCATATAAATATGGTTGGTACCGGGAAGAGTGGGAGGAATCAAGAGATTCAACCAGAGACTCTGCTTGACTGTGACTCAGTCAACACATTCTCCAGGAACGGTCTTACCAGGAATATACAAAAGACTATATGTAAATATTGTGTACACTTTCTTGTTTCAATACATTTTGTTCTAAGTACATTTTGTGTTGCATTATTATTCCATGCATTAGTCACGTTTCAACAGGGTGAAATGCTTAAAAAAATATTTCAAAAGCTAATTTAACTTGAGTGGAAGATGTTTTTTTTTTCCTAAAATAGCGCTCTTTTTTTAGTCGTTTATGATCACAATGCAATTCTCTTTATCAAAAAATCTTTCAAAATATAATATACTCTCTGAAACATTATTTGGGGGATATCACCTCATTTAAAGCATAATTAATCTGATTTGAAACAATTATTATTTACTTTAAGTTAAAAATATCACAGAACTGCACCTTTTAACGCAACATCAGGACGACAAGTTTAATATTGTTCTACGGAAACTTTATCAGTAAAGCATAATTTAAGAAAATAACGTGTACGCTTTTTTTATATAAATTTTTCGTAGTCAGTAATCTTAAAAATTTGGGAAAATATTCTCCGTAATCTAATGTTTTATTGAATTTAAGAAA